TGGAGGGAAAAGTTTCAGTGTTTGGGAGGGGAGCGTGGGCGGGACACGATGACGCTCCTCCGCCGATCCATCGTTCGCAGCAAGCCCGACGCAAGCGCAAGCTCCACCATGCGCCCTGCTTCACTCCTCCTACCCCGGTCCACTCCAATAACGGACATGCTCCTCGGATTGCAATCTACGGACCACCCTCTCCTCTATTGATAACGCGACGTCTCCTATCCTTCTGCCGCGCCGTAATGCTCTCCTAGCACCGCCCGAGCCATTGCGACACCCGGCCACGACACCCGCACCCACCGCCAGCACGACGGCTACACGGCACCACCGAGCCCGCGGCCCAACCGGGCAGCCACCTGTGAACTCATGGCCAGCTCCTTCGAGAAGAGCGTCAAGGGCGGCACCAAGATCAAGGTAGCTATGCGCCCTCCTCCTTCCGGTTGCGCCATCACGCGGACTAACACACGGTACAGCTCGCAGCGCCCAAATCCAAGTATGTCGAGCACATCCTCGTCGCGACGCATGCCGGCGAGGCAGGCGTGGCTGAGATCTTCCGCGCCCTCACGAACCGACTACGCGACTCGACATGGACCATCGTATTCAAGAGCTTAATCATCGTACATCTTATGATAAGAGAGGGCGAGCCCGAGGTCACGCTCAAATACCTGGCGCAGAACCCACACAGAAAGCTGGCCATCAACCATTTTACAGAGGGTACGTCTTGAGATTCACTTCCGGGCCGCCCAGCCAGGGTGATGTGGCTACAACACGGGCACGAATTGGGCAGCAACCGCGTCGCCCAATGCCCTGTATCTTGAGACGGATGGCATTTGGACTGCAACAGGAGGCATACACCAGGCGCTAACATTGCGTGCAATAGTACAGACCCAGGGCCACAACATCCGGACCTATTCCGAATACCTGCTGCGACGTGCGATCGAATATGGCGCCACCAAGGTCGACTACGTGCGCGGCGGCGAGGGGCGGCTTAAGCGGCTGACTGTGGAAAAAGGCCTTCTTCGTGAAGCCGAGAGTGTGCAGGACCAGATCAGATCGCTGCTCAAGTGCCAGCCCTTCGACGACGAACCAGAAAACGAGATTACCATGACAGCGTTCCGATTGCTCACCATGGATTTGTTGGTACTCTTCCATGTTATGAACGAGGGCACCATCAACATACTCGGTGAGTCCAAACATGTCTTCTTGGTTACAGGGTATTGATAAAGTAGAGCACTATTTCGAGCTGTCAAAGCCAGACGCAACGCGCGCGCTGGCAGTATACCGCACATTCGTCAAGCAGACTGAAGCTGTCGTCCAATACCTTAGTCTTGCAAGAGCACACGAACACTCGACACGGCTGGAAATCCCCAAGATCAAGCATGCTCCTACCAGTTTGGCAGCATCCCTGGAAGAATATCTGAACGACAAGGACTTCGAGATCAACCGACGACAGTACATCGCTGAGAAAGAGGCGAAGAAGAACGGGGGAAAGCCTACCAATGGTGCTAGCAAACCCTTGGATACGAAGCCTTCCACGGTGAATGCGCCCTCGAACAATACGAGCAGCCAACAGCCAGCAGCAGCCTCGAAACCCTCCTCCAGCGCACCCTTGATTGACCTCTTTGCATCACTCGAGGACAACCAACAGACCATGGCCACGCAGCCCATGATGCAGCAGTATCCCCAACAAACAGGCTTCCAGGTTCCACAACAGACGGGCTTTCCTCAACAGCAGCAACAGCCCTTTGCTATGCAGAATGGCCAGAGCACCAATCCATTCCAGATGCAGCAGCCACAGGCGCCGCAGATGCAGGCACCCCAGCTCCAGTCACAATTTACAGGCGCAGGCTTTGGAGGCTATTCGCCCCAACCGTTCGGTGTACAGAATACCATGCCTTCAATACCGCAGAATGGTATGCCTGATTATTCACAACATCAGCAAATGCAGATTCCCACAATTGCCGAACCCCTACAACCACAACAAACGTCGACAAACCCATTCCGACAGTCAATGCTGCCCAGTGCCGAACCCAAGATGCTCACTAGCCCTACCAGCACTGGATCGCTCAACCGGTCATCCACGAACCCATTCGCAAAACAAAGTACCGGTTTCTCGCAGTCGCAATCACCCATAAATTCTCCACCTTACTCCATGTCACCCATCCAAGAATCACCATTTGCTCCGATGCAACAGCAGCCTTTACAACCGACTCCAACCGGCACAAATCCATTTGCACGTCAGCCCTCGCCACAGAGTGCCGCATCCCCACAGGGTGGCCTGACAGTGAACGCTACAGGCAGTACCAATCCTTTCCGGCAGAGCGCTTTTGTCAACCAGCAAACGGGCCAGGGTTGGCAGAATACAGGTAGCCAAGGGACGATGGGCGGAATGAGCCTGGATCAGGTACCTACAACGAGTGTATTTCCACGGCCTGGACAGCAACAGCAGCAAAACTTTCTTGGCTAGGATCAAAACATGATGATGGTTCAATGGTAGACTGCGACTGTAAGAAGCTCAAAGGGCAATTCATGCACTCGTAAACGGGCATTTTCATTAGGGATGGCGTTTCTATATCGCTCGCCGCTGTAGTTATTACGTACTCGGTTGGACATAATCATGCTGCACTACGCAAGGCTAGTTGTGTGTATATTGGTTTCTTGGAAGGGGCATCGGGAGCCCGCTCAATGTCGGATGTCCAAGGGCAGATTGGGTTGTTTTGTGATAGATCATGTACCGACGATGTTGTCGTTTGTTTGACGAGCTGGGCTGAGGCCAGGAGGGGAAGCCCCTCGCTAATGCATTATAATTACTGTCGCACACCCCGCGTTGTTCTCCCACTGTACAGAGCGTTGAGCCTTGACTCTGACTCTTGTATTGGCAATTCTACCTGCGAGGTCGCGTCGAGTGGGGCTAAACAGTCGCCACTGCCTCTTAGGTAAATGCAGGGGTAATACAAGCCACGTGCCGACGCGTTGCCGTAGATTTAGCGCGACGGGCACAACTTGCCTATCAAGCCTCACAGTCGGCACAACACGATCCACAATCTCACTCACTCGACGCCGCTTGATATCCACCACAGATGACCACGGTTTCTGCCATCTCTATCTGGACCCGCCTCCCATGACCTTATTGAAACAGCGCAAATTTGTCGACTGGCGCTGGCAAGCCCGCATCAGCGTTATCAATAATGAAACCTGACGGGTCTCTGGATGCTCCCTTCACTCTGGATGACGACCCGCCTAGTTATGTACCTGCGCCTACAGTGCGACGGCGCCATCGCCAAACGCTTGACCAAGATGGGCTTGAGGAGATCTCCGACGCGCAGCAAGCTGCAGCTGCATGGAAGGAGGTCGCCGCACGGAGACAAACGAAACAAAGACACGGGAAAAACATGAGCAATGATACGTCTGGAGGAGATAGTAGTACGAAGGACAGCAATCTCACAAACAACCCGCGAGACCGGACGTCGTCATCCACGAAGTCTGTCGAGATTGTTGATCTTTCAATCGATGAAGACGAACCGCCAGTATCCGGACAAGCAACACAATCAGGCGCAAGTACTAGAGTAAATCAGCATCCAATTCAGGGACCACAGGGTTTTATTCCTGTGCCTACTACGCGTCACGAAGCTGTGCTTCCTGAGCGAGCCAAGCCTGCTGAGTCTCCTAAGAGAACGAGTCGGATATTCTCTCTCCCCATGGAGTCTCTAGCAACTCCGGCGTATCACTCACATCATGCACCTCTATCATCGGTCGCACGAACAGCGGGGCCATTCTCGGGACCTTCAGAGCCCTCGACAACGCCGACTTATCATTCACACTTTGTGCCTGGCTCATCAGTGGTGCAAGTTGCAGAATCAAGCCCGGAGCTTCCCAGGGAATCTTCAGCAAACCCAGTCTATCAACCACGCTACCTGCCTCGACCATCGGTCACACAAGGAGCGGGACCAAGTGCAGGAGTCTCCAAGGTCACGCCGCTGAACCGCTCGCCGTCAGCCGCACCAACACCAAGTACTGAACCGAGCGTTACCACTCAAGCGATCCTGGGACATGAGAATCTTTCCCCTCAGCCTACGTACCGTGCGACGTCGGCCCTCGGAGCCTCAACCAACCGTACCGCACCCGACTTGGACAATGCCGTGGATCCATCGGCTCAGCCAACCAGTAATGTCTCCGAGACTCCACCTGAACAAGCCTCTTCAAGTCGCGGAGATACAATTCCGGAGTCGGACGACGCAACACCGGATGATGATAGCGGCAGCATGACTATCCCTTTGCCTAATAAGTCGCCCGAGCCAAGCCTTTCAGCAATACAAAGACTGCCGCAGAAACAGAAAGCCATCAAGTCAGTAAGACGAAGAGATGATGGGTTATCGGGTTCACAGCTGCCTGTCAGACCACCGCGTCAGTCTGCGACTGATCATCGGGACGTAACAGACTTATCCTTCAAGCCTCTCGACCTGGGCTCGAGTAAGTCGAGGTCTGGGTCGCCTGTGGTAACACGCCGTAGCCAAAGCAAAACTCCAACGATAGATACTAGTATCATTGCTGATAGCGCGCCTGCGCAGACGGAGGAAGAATCCGTCAGGGCTGCCAGTCCTGTGGAACGCAGCACAACGCCGACACAATCGCCGCCACCACCACCTCACGATGAGGCAGGCGAATCTGCACCGGGGCGTGCCATTAGCTCGACACCTTTACTGTCCCGTTCTGCCACCCCTACTGCCTTGCGCCCTGTCGAGGCACCAGCAGAGCCGATCCGGCCCTCTGAAGCGCCATTACCAGTCCCCGAAATTATGATCCCAGATGTACCAGCTCCGGCAAAAATCGTCAGTACTCATCCAAATATCCAACCCGAACACCTACGGGTGCCTGTCGAGAACGATGGTGGTAGAACAAGCAAGAAGCTCCCACTGCAAGCGGATGTGCTCGTCACTACACGCTCAGCTGTAGAAGCGTGTTTGAAACGTCATGTGGCGGAACGACATGAATTACATGCATACCTGATGGAGACGAAGTTGCGGAATCAGAGAACATTTCAAGAACAAGACCTACGCGCCCGGTCCCGTAAGCAGAAGCGTCCACAACAGCCCATCCTGCCCGAAAAGTACATCCAGAAGACTTCCCCCTTTGAGAACATGCGTGCTATACAAGTGCCGTTCGACAGAGCCAACGCCAAGCGCCTCGTGGATATGAGTCAGGAAACATTCATCAAGGCCAAACCCAAGGACACAGTGGTCAAGTCAGGCTTAGCTGTGCCCACTACAAAGTACAAGAGTGATGCGCCAAAGATTCCTCCTTTCAAAGAGTATGTCAGTCTGAGGAACAATGTTCTTAAAGACAATGAGTCAAAATTACTCGCAACACCCTATTTCCAGGACGAAGACTATCGTGGTCGCGAGGTTCTGCTGGATACGCTTCCTTATATGTACGAGATGACGCATGACGAGAAGGGGCCGCTAGACTTCCGCAAGGAACAGTGCCGGTTCTACGATAAAGCCATCGAAGCATTTCTGTCTGAGATAGGCATCACGTGGAACGATGTGCTGTTTTGGTTACTGGCCCCGGATCAAGATATTATACGAATCAACGACTCTTTGAATGGAAGCAAGCAGTTTGAAGCACAGCTCCTCGAAAGATCACAATATCACATTGAGGAGTTTGAGAGAGACGGTGAGCCGAAGAAGGCTATTCTGTTTGACCGGAACAACAAAAAGTGGGAAGAATTTGTCGCACAGCTTGAAAAGCCGATTCCGAGTGCTCTGAGACTTGCGGCAACAGCTTCTGCAGCGGTATTCAGAGAATGTGAATTCAGCATCTGGTACTTGGCTCAAGAGTCCAAAGCTGTACAGAGTCTTATACGGAAGAAGTCTGCACATGAGCAGTCTTCCAAGCACTCAACGTACAAAAAGATCATGTGCAGAGTATGCCATCAGTAAGTGGTAACGCATGGATTTTGATGACGAAACCCTAACCTTCTTGACAGACACGATTGCCTTCTTCATGGCGAGATCAGACAAGTACCTGAGGATTCGTGGAAGACGGACTCGGAAGACGAAGAACGCGCTACACAGGCGACTGATGATACCAGTCGTCGAGGCTCCAACAACAAAACTCCGCGCCGTGTGTCGAACTTTAGCAGAGACGACACCGACGATGAGAACGAACCCGGCGATCCCTTGCCCGCACATTTCGACTCCGACTCCGACATTGAGAAGGTCATAAACTATAAGCTCCCTGCAAACCCAAGCGCTTTCGAGTCTTGCTCAGAGACGGAGATGATTACTCCCAAAGGTGCGAAACCGCCACCTGGTAAGTTTAATAGCACTTGGTGGCTGAACCAGGATACAACGCAACATTGGGAGAAGAGGAAGCCTTTTTTCCCATGCAAGCACGAAGGCAGCTGCGAGAACGCGAAATGCCGGTGCTTCAGAGAAGGCATTAATTGTGAGAAAACATGCAAGTGCTCTCACTCTTGCAATCGACGTTATCCTGGTTGCAGTTGTGCAACAGCGTCAGGAAAGCGCGTGTGTCTTACGCAGACATGTCTCTGCGTCAAATTCAACCGAGAGTGCGACGCAGACCTTTGTGGCTCTTGCGGAGCATCTGAAGTCCTTGACCCGGTGGATCGTTATAACGATGAAGTGGTTCAACGCACCTGCTGTAATGTTGCGATACAGAGGGGTGTTCCTCGGAAAACATTGCTCGGTCATTCGGAAGTGCATGGCTTTGGACTCTATATGGGCGAGGACATCAAGAGTGGCGAGTATATTGGTGAATACACTGGCGAGGCCATCTCGGTCAAAGAAGGCGATCGCCGAGTGACGATATACGACTACCAGAAGACGATGTACCTGTTTCGTCTAAACTCGAGTGAGTTTCTTTATCATTCTTACGCGAATCAGATTGCTAACACCAACATGTAGAGCAGGAAGTTGATGCGACATACATGGGCAATAAACTACGCTTCATCAACAATGCCGACGACAAGTACACGAACTGCGGCCCCAAGAACTTGCTGTGCAACACGGTCTTTCGCATCGCGCTCTTCGCTACCAGAGACATCAAGGCAGGCACCGAACTGTTCTTCAACTACAACTATCCCAAGGAGAAAACAGAGCAATTCAAACAGCCTAATGCCAAGATCGTCGCGGTCAAACAGACCAAGCAAAAGACGAAGAAAAGGGAGTCACTCACCAGTCTGAGCCAGCCCATCGAGGACCGCTCACGCATCCTTGCCGCCACAGCAAAAGCCAGAGAGGCAAAAGCAGCGAAGCGGAGAGAGGCCATGCTGCAAGAGGGCGGCGTGGAGCCAGCCACAAGAAGGCGCTCTGGAACACTTCAAGCACGAAAGGCAGCTACGAGCAAACCCGGACGCAAAGCAGTGCGAAAGTCCAAGCGCGGAGGGCTCAATAGGAACGAGTCCACAGGTTCAGATACGGGTATGGATGTAGAGGCAAGCGACCCCGAAATCCCCGAAATCCCCCCTGTCATTGAGTCGCAGAGCACGCAGACTAGTCTGTACGTCCAGGACACGGAGGCGGAGGACGACGAGTTCATCTTGCCGGATACCCAAGAAGACGAAGAGCAAGATGTGGCTGAGCCGGCCTCTGAGGATGATGAACCGCCCGGTCGATCTACGAGGTCTCGTCGTGGGCCGGGTCGACCGCGTAGGAGGGGGTCGGATGTGGCGCCGGTGGTTGCGGTTAAGCAGGCGGTCAAGCAGAAGAAGTCGAAGATGGGTGGTGCACGACCAGGTGCTGGCAGGAAGAGAAAACGACCCGTTATTGCTAACAGCGATGATGAGTGAGACCTCTACGCTAGTAGCTGGGATTGCACATTGGTAGAAGGATGAGAGGGACGATGTGAGTGGGAAGTCTGTTTGGTGTTCATTTTTGTGTTTAATACCCCATTCTATATTGCTTCAAGCAAGATATTATTACAGAAGACTTGTACGTGCCTGTGAAGTTAGCAGTCCAAATGCGCAAGAAGTGTCGGCATCCTCAACGATGGAGTTCGCATAGCCTACTCAGACACCCTTGCCACTGCGCAAGCAGCTGCGACGTTCCTTTCAGCATCACAACAGACTCGTGCATCCCCGCAACACCAAAGCCACCCCCTCTCCCACCCCGTACCAAACCGCTGCCCCAATCCAGAAGAGCTGCCAGACCACCCAACGGCCGCACCAACCTCCGGGACGCGACCCGCGGAAACCTGCAAGCCAGTACCGGGCGGCATGCTTACCCATCTAGATTCTAGTGTGCAACCACACCCAGCGATCTGCAACAGCGGGGAAAAGCAAACGAACATTCGTTCGAGACCGAGACTATCGAATCGAACGCTTGGGTAGCGGGAGAGAGGGAATAAGCAGCGGAGACTGGAGGTGTCATCCAGACGTGGGATTGACGCACAGGCGTGATAGGTAAGTAAGCTCAGCGGGAACAAGCAAAACGTTGGTTTCAATCGATATTTCTACGATGGATGTGTGACCTGCACAAATGTTGAGATTGCGATTGCACTGTGCGCAACTCAACTTCTCCTATCTATGGTAATTTGGCATTCAGCATACTCGGTTTACCAAACGCCCCATGCTGTGCGTGCGCCTCTTCCGGTGCGGATCGCTGCATCCACGAGATGTGCTACAGGTATGTATGTAGCCAGCCGATGCGTTTAAGGTTTAGAGTGGGGCGGGGAAGGCCTGGCTAGTAGTTGAGATTGGGGAGGTGCGACAGGAACGCGTGGAAACGGCGAGATTGTCATGGGTGAGACGGATCTTTGTAAGACTTGCTATGCAGCGGAGATGCCGTGATGGAAAACGTGTGTGTGTGGCGTCGCACCTGATTAAGCCCGGTGCAAAGAAGAGGCGGGTAAAGACGTAAATGAACATCACGTGGAAGCTCCACCACCTGCATCATCTCTGGGGCTGGGCAATGTCTTGAGCCCGATACATCGCAAGACGCGTCTTCACACACAGCGCCCAGCCCATGAATCCCCATCCACAAGCAATACTCTCCGTCGTTGAACGGAATCAACAATGCCTACGTCAACAAAACGTCGTTCTTTTTTACCCACCCCCCTTAGCTCCGATGCGCATCTGAAGCCGAACATGGGAAGCACGAAAATACCCGAGACACAGACGCCAAGCTTGCACCAGAAAGGGAACGCACCTGCTACATTTAGCCTCTTTGCTCCGCAACCGGTGCTCCACCCACTCGTTGCTGCACTAGCCACACGCTCGGCCAACCTTCGCGCCCACGCCGCGGGTTCAAGCTGTGGTGTGCGTGTAGTTCGGCGCGCGTTCCCTCTGTTGCGTGAGACGAGCAGTACATACATACAAGGAGGATGCAATACTACTATCCACGTGAAATGAAAGAAGCAAGACGGCGGAACAAGAGCCCACGGAGACGTTCATCTCCGGCGTCGCGCATGCCGCAACGAGGTCTGGATCCACTCCGTGTGATTGGATGCTGATGTCATTGTACGCGGCTGGAGCGTGCACCCACTTTCACATGTCAGACGACGCTTCACGCATCAGCAGGACCCAGGTAGGTGCTGCAACACGGACAACGGCCCCACTGTCCAACTCGCGCAAATGATGGCGCGCTTCACTTGCCCTTCAGCTGGCGGTGCGTAACAAAAGCTTGGAGCAAACGTGTGCCAAACCTCACCTTGCTTGTCTGTCCGTTCTCCTGAGGCGTGTCTAGACTCGCTCGTCACTTTTGTCTGAATTGTTCCGCGGAAGAATTAACTGCAGTAACCAAGGGGTTTGTGTTGTTGGAATTGGGTATTCTTTCTTGCCGGTATCCGCAGTGTTGCATGCAGCTGGATCTGTTCATCATCCATTCTCAGCCTTACTCCTCATTTCTCACCTGACGTCTTCCCGACTCCGCTTTCCATCACCCACCCACCAACCAACCAACCATCGGGGCACGCTGCCGGCACATCAACACATCCACTTTCAACCACACGTCTCGGTCTTTCTCGACGCACTTCACATCTCCCCGGCCAAATGGATTGTATAGAGGCCATGGGTGCGCGACGTGCCATGTCGCTCATGTTCACCGTTCCGGAGCGCTTCGTCGGCTTCGCGCACATGGACCAGAAGACTTTCTTCGAACTCTCCGACTGGATCCTCGCAAACGTCGCATCAACGATTACTACCGACATAAGTGTGGAAGAGTCGCTCTTCATATTCTTGGATATCGTGGCACAGGGGAACAGCTTCAGTACCGTGGCGTATGGATGGGATCATGACCTAGAGCTTACACAAGGGTATGTTGTCGAGTGAAAACTGTTTGCGTTGTATCGAGGTAGAGACTGACTGTTGCGCGTAGCATATTCCTCAATGTCCTCAACGCCCTCACGGTCCTGCGCGAAAGCAGGGAGATTGCCGATTCATGCCCGCCCTTCACACAAACCCGTAAGCGATGGGAAGTCGCTCGGAGATGGAACCAGAAGCGGTCGCGTATGGGCACCGGCGGTGTCGTCCGCATCGGCTACGACGAAATGTTGCGCGACGGCCTCGAGGTTGACCAAGAGTGTCTGAAAGAGGCGCTGATGGCGATGAACAACTTCATCCACGAGAACGCCGACCACGACGAATCATGATGGCGCACAAAATTGGTAGTTTCCTGCATTTGTTCTGGTGTCGGTTTGGCGTTTGGGTAACGACTTGGTAACGCATTGCATCGGTTGGGAGGGTTGAGCTTGGTGTTGACAGTCTTCTTTTGTTCTCGTTTCGTATGTACATATGTACGCTCTTTTGCAGGTCGAATTCGATCTCGGCTGGCCATTCGGTGCCGCTGAATTCACCTTCCTCAGATATGTTGTGTGTCGTGACGTCTTTGATATCGCCCGCTCAACCCAAGGCTACGGCCTCCACCGTGCCTTTGCCCAGCACACTCAGTCTCCCCCTCTTGATTCCCAATGCGTCTTCAATCCTCGCATCGGGCTCTCCCTTGCTTCGTCTCATCATCGCCAACGTTATGACACCAGCATCCACATACGTTCTTCCCTGGAACCCTCTCCTACCAACGTCTCGCAACTCATCTTCCGCCTGGTCTGCTATCCGTTGTCTCGCCTCCAGTACCCGGAGTACAGGGTTATTGCGCGGGTCGGGGAACGCAGACTGCGGTGGCGATTGCATCATCGTATCGGAGGGAAGATTCGGCGAGGTATTGCGGCGAGGGTCAAATTGCGAGGCAGACGAAGGCGAGAAATGAGGGTTCGGTTGGACAGCACCCAGACTGCTCAGGCGAGATGCAAAGGCAGGGTCGCGGGCATCTTGTAAAACAGCTAAACTAGAAATCAGTGTCGCGTCCTCATGTGCTAGAAGCGTGCGGATACATACCCTCGGTCTTTTCTCCAGTAGCCTGCACCTCGGGATGGACAGTCGGTCCCTTCACAGGATCCTGTGCGGGTGCGGAAGGCGCGGGAGCCCGTGTTGTAGTAGTTGTAGGGGCTCTGGTAGGGTATTTACGAGCAGCAGAGCCAGCCGCCTTTGCGCCTTTGGAAGCCGAAGAGCCCATTATCTCTGTTGGGAATACGTCGAGTGTGGGGTAGTTGCAGAATGTTGAGATGCGTGGTGATAACGGGGGGGCAGATAAGATGGACGTATGGGACTTTCTGAAGCTTGGACCACTCTGATGATGTAGTGGAGATCTCCCGCGTCATGAAAAGGGTTTACTACTTTGGGCGATGCTTGCGAAGGCTGCAACGAATCGTAATTTTATTTTCAAACACATCGTGACATGCTAACTCTACCAAGGACTATTCTGACCTATAGGAGCTTTTCGTCGGCACGGTAGTGTCCTGCGACTAGGAATGCCAGCTCCAACGCCTGCTTCTCGTTCAACCTGGGATCGCAGTATGTGGTATAGTTCAGGCTTAAATCCTCGTCCACAAGTCCTTCACTTCCGCCAGTGCATTCCGTAACTGCATCGCCGGTGAGTTCCAGGTGCATGCCGCCGAGGAAGGACCCGTGCTGCTTGTGGATCTTGAGTGCTGATGAGAGCTCAGAGAAGATGCTGTTGAAAGAGCGGGTCTTGATGCCAGTAGGCGTGCTGCGCGTGTTGCTATCGACACGTCAGTGGATGAAAAATTGCATACCAAGACGACTTACCCGTGCATGGGATCGCACTGCCACACTACGACGTGTCCACTGCTCTTGACAGCTTCGATGTGCGCTCCAAGCATCGACTCAACCTTGTCCGCACCATATCGCGTGATCAATGTAATCTTGCCAATCTCCTTGTTAGGGTTGACAATGTCGAGTAGCTCTACCAGCTCGTCGTTCTTCATGGAAGGACCGACCTTGATACCAATAGGGTTTTCAATACCGCGGAAGTACTCAACGTGGCCTCCGTCGATTTGACGAGTTCGGTCTCCGATCCAGATGAAGTGAGCAGAGGTATTGTACCAGCCCTTACCGTCATTTGAGGCCTGAGAAGGCTTGTAGCCTGAAGGGTGCTTGAGTCTCCTTGTCAAGCTCTGCTCGTACTCCAAAACGAGACCTTCGTGGCTGGTGAACAGGTCTACTGTCTGTAGCTGACCTGATGTGTCCGCACCAATGGTCTTCATGAAGCGCAACGAGTCGGAGATGCTGTGGACGATTTTCGAGTACTTGGTTTGTAGTTCCTCGTCCCGAACGTGACCCAGTTCCCAGTCCAGAGGATTGTGCAGATCAGCAATGCCACTTGCTAGCTGTCCACGGATGTAATTCAGTGTCGTCGCCGAATGGAAGTAGGCGCTGACCAGCCTCTCAGGGTCAACTCTTCGAGCGTCAGGATCGTATCCATTGAGGATATCGCC